TTTTTTTTTTTTTTTTTTTGAGACAGAGTCTTGCTCTGTTGCCCAGGCTGGAGTGCAGTGGCGCCATCTCAGCTCGCTGCAAGCTCTGCCTCCCAAGTTCACGCCATTCTCCTGCGTCAGCCTCCTGAGTAGCTGGGACTACAGGAGTCCTTGACCATGCCCGGCTAAGTTTTTGCATTTTTTTTTTTTTTTTTAGTAGAGGCGGGATTTCACCGTGTTGCCTAGGATGGTCTCGATTTCTTGACCTTGTGATCTGCTCGCTTGGCCTCCCAAAGTGCTGGGATTACTGGCGTGAGCCGCCACACCTGGCCCCAGAAACTTTTTTGTGTATTACAAAATCGAAGAGAAAAACAAAAGAGCACGCCTGACGGAGATGTTCTTATAGAATCCTGTAGATGAAAATTTTAATATGGAAATGGAAAAAAAACATGAATTAGAACACTTTTGGAACATCAGGATGGATATGTACGCTTGCCCAGTTTTTCCTTATTTTTGTCCCATGGAACTGAGTGAATCATAATAATTATATAATTATAGGTGGGCACAGCATAATCATTGTTTCATTATATTTCATTATATTTCATCATCCCTCTGTAGCCTTTAGTATCCCCCTTTTTCTAATGAGAAATCTGAACTTCAGAGAAACTAAGTTAGTGGTCTGAGGTCACACAGCAATGAGTGGGAGAGCTGGACTTTAAACCACATTTCTGATATCAGAGCCACTGCACAGGTTTCTCAAAGTGGCCTTGAAATACTTGCCTTAGAATTACCTGGGTCGTTTGAAAATCAAAATGAAAGTTTCTGGCTGTCACCTCCTCACTAAATCAGCATCTCTTAGGGTAGGGAATACACAGTATTGAAAACTGTTGGTCACACTTTGATCTCTTCAGCCCCACCTCTACATAAGGGCAGATAACTGCATTTTTTTTTTTTTTTAATTTTTTTGAGACAGGGTCTCGCTCTGTCACCCAGGCTGGAGTGCAGTGGCATGATCTCGGCTCACTGCAGCGTCTGCCTTCAGGTTCAACCAGTTCTCCTGTCTCAGTCTCCTGAGTAGCTGGGACATGCTACCACACCCAGCTAATTTTTGTATTTTTAGTAGAGACAGGGTTTTCACCATATTGATCAGGCATGTCTTGAACTCCTGACCTCAGGTGATCCACCTGCCTCGGCCTGCCAAAGTGCTGGGAGTATAGGCCTAAGCCACTGTGCCCAGCTGATAACTTTTTTTTTTTTTTTTAGAGGGCGTTTCACTCCTGTCGCCCAGGCTGTAGTGCAATGGCACGATCTTGGCTCACTGCAGCCTCCACCTCCCAGGTGCAGGCGATTCTCCTACCTCAGTCTCCTGAGTAGCTGGGATTATAGGCGCCCACCACCACACCTGGCTAATTTTTTTTGTTTTTTTAGTAGAGACAGGGTTTCACCATATTGGCCAGGCGGGTCTCGAACTCCTGACCTCAGGTGATCTGCCCGCCTCGGCCTCCCAAAATGCTGGGACTACAGGCGTGAGCCACCGCGCCCGGACGATAACTGCTTATTTAACGAGTGCCCAAGGAGTGTCTGTTTGTTACTGAAATTTGATTACTGCTGCACAAAGTTATCCTGCTATTTCCTCATTTTAGAAACAGAAATATCTGGCCTGTTTAAATTTCCTTACTTTGTGTTTGTCCTGTTAGAAATAGATTGCCATAATTAGAACTTTTAGGCATTGCATTTTTAGTTTAGATCATCTTGTTGAGCCTTTTAAGAAAGGGAGTCTTGGCGGGTCACAGTGGCTCACCCCTGTAATCCCAGCACTTTGCGAGGCGGAGGCGGGTGGATCACGAGGTCAGGAGTTCGAGACCAGCCTGACCAACATGGTGAAGCCCTGTCCCTACTAAAAATACAAAAAATTAGCCGGGCGTGGTGGCGGGTAGCTGTAATCCCAGCTACTTGGGAAGCTGAGGCAGGAGAATCACTGGAACCCAGGAGGTGGAGATTGCAGTGAGCTGAGAGCATGCCATTGCA